GGTACTTTGGACTGAGTCTTGCTACACAATACAGAGTCAAATTGCTGAAAGTAACACATTGAGGGGATCTTCCCTGGAAGGAGTGTCGGCTGTCCCAGCTTGTTACTGAAGGAAATGGAACTCTGTCTTTCCAGCCACCATCAAAGTAGGTCCAACAATGGGTTCTGAGTGTTGCTGCTCCTAGGGTGATGAAGAACTTTCTTGGTCCTTCTCAGTAGAGTCCTGAGCCCACTTGCAGCGATTGTTATAGGCGAAGTCTAACTCATCATCCTTATACATAGAAGGTACCACCACACTGCTGGAGATGTGCTATAGAAGTATTAACCCCAATAAGGCAGGACTTAAAGGGATAGTTAACATATAATCACCCTGCAAAGAGAAATCAGACACATTCATTGCATGCTTTGCCAGATAATAATCAAACATTTTCATCTCTGTGAAAGGGGATTTTCACACAGCAGGAGCAGTCTGAGACTGGGGGGGAAATCCACAGTGCATTGTTCTCCAGGATATTTCTTGACTCAAGTGTGGTGTCAGGTCTTGAGGCCCTCAAGTTTGAGACCCTGGACATGAATCCAGAGGCCGTTGTTCAAATGGAATAAAGGGATACTGCATCATTTGAAATCAGAAAAGGTGTGTGTCAGGGTTGTATCCTTTTACCTTACTTATTACACCCTCGGAAACCCTGTACAGGGTCGCTATGGGTCGGAACCGACTCGACGGCACTTAACAACAACAACAATTCAGTCTATATGCTGAACAAATAATCCAAAAATCTGGGCTATATGAAGAAAAACATGGCATCAAGATTAGAGGAAATTCATTAACAACCTACAATATACAGATGACACAACCTTGCTTATTGAAAGTGAAGAGGCCTTGAAGCACTTACTGATAAAAGTCAACGATGACAACTTTCAAAATGAACTTCACCTGAATATATAGAAAACAGAAATCCTCACAGCTGAACCAGTAAGTAGGGCAAATGCTGAAGAAATTGAAGTTGTCAAGGATTTCATTCTACTTGGGTCAACAATCAACAACACTCAAGGACTTAGTATCCAGAAAATCTGCTGCAAAAGTCCTTTTTTCTTTTTTTTCCACACACACAAAAAATTTTTTTTAAGTTTTTATTGTGAATTGAGTGAAAGTTTACAGGGCAGATCATCAGTTTTGCATTCAACAAATCATACACCCTGTTTCATTACAATGATTATAATCCCCTCCATGTACCATCAGTTAACAGTGTTTCTCTCTATTCACTTTAGCTCTTTAAAAAAAAAAAACACTCAGGCATATATAATAATTTACACCACCAAAGGGCACATTCTGCAAGTCTGCTTCCTGGCTGCCAGCACTCAATCCCTCTCTTCCCATGAATCTAGAGTCCTCAGCTGCCCCCTCTCTCCATGTCCCCATCTCTGCCTCCATCTCTGGTGTCACTGTTTCTCTGGATAAGGTCTTGCATTCTGCTTGTGATCTTCTCCCTTGATGATCCTAGGTACCTCTGTTTCTGGACTGTAAGATTAATTTGTTGTTGTTAAGTGCCGTTGAGTCTATTCCAACCCATAGTGACCCTATATCAGGTTTCCAAGGAGCAGCTGGTTAGCTTGAACCACCGAACTTGCAGTTCAAATGACTTTGTAGTCTGACGCATTAACCCACAGCGCCACACCAGGACTACTCACCCATGTTTGTTACAAAACTTCTACCTTTACAATTGTGACAGTTGCAAATTTGGCACAAACTCGACACCAGCTAACAAGTACAGTCAGGGTCATTATGAGGATATGGTCAGGGTCAGTTCAAGTTCAGGGTCAGCCCTAGGGTCAGTGTCAATGTCAAGGTGAGGATAAGAGTAGCATTATGGTTGGTGCCAGGGTAAGGGTCAGGGTCAAGTTTAGGGTCCAGGAAATAAAGGAAAGAGGCAAAGTTGAAAGTATCAGGATCAAGGTCAGTGTTAAGTTGATGATAATGTCAGATTCAAGGTGAGGGTCATGGTCAAGAGTGAAGTTCAGATATAGTTCAGAGTGAGAGAAGGTCAGGGTGAAATCCAGGCTCAGAGTGAGAGTCAAATTCAAGTTCAGGCTCCAAGTTTGTATAAGAGTCTGGGGAATGGTTAAGTTTATGGTCAAAGTCACAGTGAGGGTCAGACTGAAGATGAGGATAAGAATTAGGGTTAGATCAGTGTCAAGGCAAATGTCAGCATTAGGTCAGGGTTAGTGTGGGGATCTAGTCTGCGTAATGATGATGAGTGTTGATGTCAGGGTCAAGTTGAAGGTTTAGGTTCAACAAAAGTTTCAGGGACAAGATCAGGTTTCAGGGTAAGCGTTAGGGTAAGGATGAGAGGTTTAGGATCAGTGTCTAGGTGAAACTAACATCAAAGTAAGGTTAAGGATTAAGTGCAAGGTCAGGGTAAGCATGAGAGTAGTACCAGGGTCGAGGTGATGATCAAGATAGTCACAGGTCAAGGTCAAGCTTAGTCAGGCAAGTCCAGAGGTGGATGGTCAGTCAGTGTCATAGTGACGTCAGAGCCAACATGGTGCGCTGGTCCACAAAGATAATGATGTTCAATCACAGGGTAGAGGTTATGTTCAGAGGACAATGAAGAAAGAGTTAAAGTCAGATGAAGATCAGAGTGAGGGTCTCAGTCAGCTTCTAGGTCAGTATCAAGGTCAGAGTGACTAACAATCATGAAGATTTGGTGTTAGGTTAGGTTTAATGGCAAGGTGAATATAAGTCTCAGAGTCAGTTTAAACTTCTCAATTTCACACAGTCTCATGGAATGGTTGAAATGGAGTTCAGATGTGGAACTTCCTAAGCCTTGCTAAGGATCTTTACAACAATCTTTAATACTTAGTCCCTGGGTAATGCAAATGGTTAATACACTCTCTGCTAACAGAAAGCAGTACCTGGGGAAAAGACCTGGTGATCTATTTATGAAAAATCAGCCACTGAAAACCCTGTGGAACAATTCTACTCGGACCCACGCAGGGTTGCCATGAGTCGGAACTGACTCTGGCAGCTGGTACAGGTGCCTGATGATCCATCCTTATCTCACCACCTGCTGGGCTGGAGAGTTCTATATTTTGAAAAGGTCTTCATTCATTAAACCAAAGTCATTTCCTCCGGTTCTTCCCAATTCCCCTAGAGCAACAAGATGAATCTAACTTTTTTCATGTGGTCCCTTGATCACTCACTCATTCACTCATGCACACTAGTCCAGGAGCTTTTGCAAAAAAAAAACAACAACAACAAAAAAACAAAACCGAGGCTTGTGACTATTATCCCTCTAATGGGTCCAAAGAGTCCTGGTGAGGCGCTGTGGGTTAATGCGCTGGACTGCAAAGTCGGTATGGACCACAAGGTTCAAGCTCACCAGCCGCTCCTCGGAAACCCTCTACAGGGTCGCTATGGGTCGGAACAGACTTGACGGTACTTCACAACAACAACAAAGCTCCCCATTTCACCGCTGAATATTCTTTAAGGAGCGCAGTGAGGAAAGCCCCGGGTCACCGACCACACCGCAGAGGGGGTCGAAATCTCTAGTTCCCTGGGAGCCCGCCACCCTCTTACTGGATCTGGGGTCTCCCCACATCCCAAAGCTGGAAAGACATTGGACCAGTCTGTGGAGGCCGGAAGACCAGGAGCCCGAGTCAAGAAGTTGAAAAGGAAAAAGATACTCTCACCCAGAAACTTTCCGAGCCCAAAAGAGAACAAAGAACTGGACCTTCAGAGTGCCCCGCCCCACCTCCTACGAGCGCGCCTGCGTGGCATTTGATTGGCCGAATCCTGGCGTGTCCCACCTCCGTGCCCCGCCCATCCTACTTTCTGTTGAATACAGTGTCACCCGTCAGCCCGAGGTCCTTGTTCTCCCAACATTTTATTTTGTTTTTATAAAAAGCCTGTAAGCCCAGTCTGGCCCCTACTTCGCCCTAGAGGAGATTTAAGAGTCTGGAGGTCGGAAAGAAAAGGGTTCTAGTCCAGTGAATGATAGAAGGTTGAGGGCAGCGGGAAAGATGGGTTTTTTTTCCTTTGCTTCCCATTCCTTGAATCTGGGCGGAGGGATGGAGGTGCCAAAGGTAACGGATTTTTCTGTCTGAAAAGTGAGGAATTGAATAGATGGTTCTCGAAATTTCTTCCAGCTCTTAATTACTGCAATCCTCATGGGAGCTATTCCACAATAGTCCTTAGAATCCGATCCTACAACTCTGCTCAGGACATGACTGACTCACTGCCATCCTGTGAATTCTGAGTCAGCAACCCTAAGGACCAAGTAGAACTGCTCCTAAGGCAGCCAGTCTCTACCAGAGCAGACAGCCTCATCTTTCTCCAGCTGAATGGCTAGTGGGTTTGAACCTCACATCCTACTTTGAGCAACCCAACGCTTAACCAACTACAAACAGGAGCGGAGGATTGTTGTTAAGTGCCGTTGAGTCAGTTCTAACTCATAGTGACCCTACATAAGGCGTCCAAGGAGCACCCTACGGGTTTGAATTGCTGACCTTGTGGTTAACAATCCAGTGCTTATCCTACGGAGCCACACCGGAACTCCTAGAAGCTAAGAATAGAGGTGTGGGGAATCGAGGCGGGTAGACTCATGAAAAAGACTTCAGGACTTCCAATTTTCTGCTGAACAAGCCTGTCACAGAACCACAGTTTCTGTAAAGCACCATCCCTCCCCTTCCTGCTTTTTAGCTTTTTATAATTTAATTTAAAATTTTTTAACCAACTCTTCCAGTCACCATTTCCCCTCCCGGCCCTACCCCAGCACTTTCTCTTCAGACCATGGCTACCAGGTTTCTTAAGGCTGCTCTAAGGAATTAAGTCTCCAAGATCAGATCTAGAAAACAAGGCTAAAAATAAAGATCCCAACAACCTCCACAAGTCTAAGCCAGACATTGAAAGAAGATCGCATTTGTCTTTATTGAGTTATAAAAATGGAGTATGAAGACCTGGATCACTGGGCTTGGAGGAAAACAGTAGGCAACTTTGGATGCTTACAGGGACTTCAGGAAAAGCCTGTATTTGGCCAGGAAAGGGTTGGCCATAGCAGTCAGCTCTTGACGAAGTTCCTGCAGAGCCCTGTCTTTCTCTTCCTGTTCTCCAGTCACCTTCTGCTTGTAATAGTTGGTGTACATGTTCACCCAGTCATCCACCACAGTCGCCATGTCTTCTTCAGAGATTGGACTATCGGGCATGACCTGAGGGGAAGGGGGAACAATGTGATTGGGAAGTGGAGGAAGTAGTCCCTGCAAACTCACTTCGGCCTTCCTTCCATTTGTATTTACTGTCTTGAGTTGCTTCCATCAAATGTACCATTACTCTCCCACTTCCAAAGTATTCTCCCTTCTGCCCTCACCGCCTCCTTCCCAGGCCTGTCCTTGGAAACAGAGTAGCCAGACTTACCTGCTGATTCAGCAGAACACCAAATTCCTTGATTCCTGTGGAAATGAGATCCTTATTGGTCTGAAGAAGGGCCATCTGCCTGGTTAGAGAAAGAGGTAGAATTTAAATATCCCTTATCCCTGGCTCCTGGATCTTTTCCCCCAATCCACATAACTCTTTTGCAGGTCCCTAGTGCCCTTCAGGCCACCGCCCAACATTTTCCAATGTCTACTCTTGTTGAGATGCTGACTCTCCCAGGCAGTGCTCACTTTTCTGGCAAACGGTGCTGTGTATGTCTCGCCCACACTCTTCAGAGACAGTATGTCCCTCTGTGCCAAGCTAGAGGCAAGGAGTCAACAGTCAGCCTAAAAGGGTAACGCCCTAAGCCTAGACCCTGAGGGAGAATGATAGGTCACCCTGGGGAGGGGAAGGAGGGAGAGGCCTCCCTGAAATAAGGAAGATAGTGAGACTAAGAAAAACTGATAACTGGGGAGATCCAGAAAGCACAAGAACCAAAGCAGGCCCACATCCCAGTACCCAGACTTTAAATACTAGGAAAATGAACATTTATTGAGGCCCTATTACACTCTGGTAGTGTAGTGGTTACGAATCGGGTTGCGAACCACAAGGTCAGCAGTTCGAAACTACCAGCTGCTCCACCGGAGAAAGATGAGGCATTCTGCTCTCGTAAAGATTTACAGCCTCGGAAACCTTGTGCAGGGTCGCTATGAGTCGGAACCAACTCCATGGCACATAACAACAACAACATTACATGTGACAGGCCCTTTGAAACCAAAGCACTGTGATGCCAATTAATCTCTCATTTCATAGATGACATATTACAGGATAATGTGGCACGATAGGATAAGCACTGGGCTGTGAACCACAAGGTTGGCAGTTCAAACCACCAGCTGCTCCTTAGAAACCATGGATTGGAACCGACTCAGAAGCACTTAACAACATATTACATAGGGTAAATCTGCTGCAAAAGACCTCTTTAAGATGTTAAAGAGCAAAGATGTCCCTTTGAAGACTAAGGTGTGCCTGACCCAAGCCATGGTATTTTCAACAGCCTTACATGTCCTGGTGTGGTGCTGTGGGTTAATGGGCTGGACTGCAAAGTCGGTTTGAACTGAAAGGTTGGTGGTTCAAGCTCACCAGTTGCTCCTTGGAAACCCTAATCAGGGTCACTGTGGGTCAGAATTTACTCAACGACACTTAACGACAATCCTTAGCTCCTGGTTGTAGTTGGAACCAACTTGGTAGCACCTAACAATAACATATTAATATATTTATGCAACAGATATTTTATGCCAAGCACTATTTCTGACATGTATTGATGTAATTTTAAAAAAAATAAAACCCCAGTTTTTATTATAAAGGTAGGTGCTTTATGAATTGAATTGAATTATGTCCCCTCCAAAAAATACTTAATATAAATCTTAACCACTATTGTTAAGTGCTATCAAGTCGGTTCCAACTCAGAGTGACCCTGCACAGGGTTTCCAAGGCTATAAATCTTTATGTGAACAGAAAGCCTCATCTTTCTCCCTCGGAACAGCTGGTAGTTTCGAACTGTTGACCATGCGGTTCGCAGCCCGATTCGTAACCTGTGGTTATAATCCCACTTGAAAATGGCTTTCTATTCATTATGTTAATAAGTCAGTGCCGCGTAGGGAGTGTCCAGTTCATTTCTTCTGAGATACAAATTCAGATTAAGCAGAGGTAAGAAGACAGATTGCACACCACATGCAGATCACCAAGGAGCTAGAAATAGTTGAGACCAAGACCTTCCCCCACAGCCCAGAGAGAGACACGATTCCCTACCTATAGCTGACATCTAAATTCAGACTTCTAGGCTCCTAAAGTGTGAGAAAATAAACTTCTGTTTCTTAAAGCCACCCCACTTGTGGCCTTTTAGATACAGCAGCACTTGTGGTATTTCTGATAACTAGATACCAGTAGTGTCTGTTATTAGCCACATTTTACAGATGGCTCTGCCCAGCCACACCCCGCAGAATGGAGATGAATTTGCTTTCTTTATGCTCCAGTATATCACCAGGTACTCAGTAAAGCAGAAATAGTCTTTTAAAAAATATTTTCCCTAATGTTTTCCATTTTAGCAGATATTTTTCCATTTTAGCAGCTATTTTTCAAATTTCAAATGCATAAAAATAAGTTTAAAAAAATTGACTCTGAAAAAGTTGATTGTTTTTGCTCCCTTCCTCCACTAACACAGCCAGCATTAAAACTTGGTGAGTTTCCTGGCACGTCTTTCTCCATTTAAAAAACAAAATCCATCAGCACCTATTCAAGGGACCTTCAGAAAGTTGGTGGAAATTGGAATGAAAAGATAATGGAATTTTTCCATGAACTTTTTGAAGCTCACTCATACATTCATAAAGATTTGTGGGTTTGTTTTTTGTTTTTTTTCAAAAAAATTTTTTTTTTACACATCAGCAATATTTCATGCAGAAGTCATCTGTCTACTCTGTCCTATAGTTGAAGTTTCCCTCCATGTTCTACTATCCCTTGATACTTAACACTAGACCACATCCAATATGTCTTTTTTTATTATTATTATTACATTCTGTATGACCCCATATCAGAACTACTACATTATGAATTCTGTTAAAGTCAATTTTAGAATTCTGTTTACTGCTCTCAAATTCACACATCATTTCTCCATGGATTTTCTTTTAAATTTATGTTGGTTTCTTAATCTGGGGTGACTCAGTGGTAGGACTCTCACCTTCCATGAGACCTGGGTTCCATTCCCCACCCGAGCACCACAATGGCGGCCACCACCCTTCTGTGGATGCTGCTGCAATACTATAGCAGAGCTTCCAGACTGAGACGGACTAAGAAGAAAGGCTCCGTGATCTACTTCTGAAAATCAGCTCTGTAATAGGTCATGAGACTATCTCAGGACCAGGTAGCATTTTGTTCTATGAGTCAAAAGCTCAGTAGCAACTAGCAGCAACACCTTAAAACAGCAAAATTGGCTTTGTGGTACATTGTGTAGCATTAAGTCAATTCCAACTTAATAGCGACCCTGTATGACAGAGCCAAGCTACCTCACAGGCTTTCCAAAGTTGTGATCTGGTGTGGTGCAGTAGGACAATGCACTGGACTATAAGGTCAGTTTGAACTGCAAGGTTGGTGGTTCAAATTCACCAGCAACTCCTCGGAAACCCTATACTTCCAAGTCACTATAGGTCTTGGAAGCAGCAGTCAGGAAATCAAACGACGTATGTATTATGTTAGGCAAATCTGCTGCACAAGACCTTTTTAAAGTGTTGAAGAGCAAAGATGTCAGATTGAGGACTAAGGTGCACCTGACCCAAGCCATGGTATTTTCAATAACCTCATATGCATACGAAAGCTGGACAGTGAATAAGGAAGACCGATGCTTTTGATGCTTTTGAATTATAGTGTTGGAGGAGAATATCGAAAGTGCCATGGGCTGCCAAAAGAACAAACAGATCTGTGTTGGAAGAAGTGCAGCCAGAGTGCTCCTTGGAGGCCTCTCATACTTGGAGGTCTCTCATACTTCGGACATATTGTCAGGAGAGAGAAGTCTCTGCAGAAGGATATCATGTTTGGTAAGGTGGAAGGTCAGAGAAAAAAAGAGGAAGACCCCCCAGAGAGATGGATTGGCAAAGTGGAAGCAACAATGGGCTCATGTGTGGCACAGTTGTGAGGTTGGCCCAGGACCAGGCAGTGTTTTATTCTGTTGTACAACTATGAGTTGGTACCGACCCGATGGCACCTAACAACAACAACAACATAGGTCAGAATCATCACGATGGCACTTACCAACAACAACAATCTCTAAGAAAGCACATTGTTATGTCTTCTTCCCAAGCAGCAGCTGGTGGTGTTTCAGTTAGCAGCTAAGCATTTAACTGAGCCACCAAAGCGCCTTTCTTTTTGGTCTGTAGTTTATTCCTTTTCATGCATGTATAGATTAATGTAACAACCTCCACATTCAGGATATAGAACATTTGCATCAACTCCAAAAACTCCCTAGGGTTACCCTTTTATAGTCACACTCAGACTCACCCCTAAACCCTAGAAATCACCAATCCATCACTAGAGTCTTTTCAAGAATGGCGTAAAGATGGGATCATACAGTATTTAACTTTTTTGAAACACACTTCCCTCCCTTAACATATAATGCCTTTGAAGATCATCCAATGGGTTTTAAGTATTAACAAGTTGTTTCTTTTTCATTGCTGAGTAGTAGCATCCCGTTGTATAGGTGCACAACAGTTTGCTTATATCCATGCATCCACTGAAAAACATCTAGATTGTTTGCAGTTTAGGGTGAGTGTGACTAGCACAGCTATAAACATTTGTGTACAGGTTTTTGTGTGAACATGTTTTCATTTACCTAAAGTAGAAAATACTTGTTACCACTAGGGAAATATTTATAATACAATCTGAGAAAGGATTTGTATACTTAATTTATAACAAATCTTACAACCCAATAATAAGACAAAAATCCTATTTTTTTTTAAGCAGCCAAAACCCAAAGAATCTGCACAAAAACTTTCAGAACTAATAAAAGAATTTATCAAAGTTGCTGGGTACAAGGTCAACAAACAAAAATTTGTTGGATTTCCATATACCAGCAATGAGATATCTAAAAGGGAAATTAGTGAAACAATTCAATTTACAATAGCATCTAAGAGAGCAAAATAGAAATCAATCTAACCATAGATGTGAGGGTCTTCATAAGAATTCAGGAAAAAACTACAAAAACAAACTGACAAAATAAATGAAAAATACAAAACAGCAAATAGAAATTCAGAAGATTAACACCAAGATTTCAGAAGTAGAGAAAACATTGAAAGGGCAAGGAGTGGAACTGAATCAATGGAAGGCTGAATTAGTGAGCTTGAAGAGAAATCTCGATATAATCTGCTAGAGGAATAATCAGTAAAAGGAAGAGGAAAGTTCAAAGAAAGTCTAGGAATTATGTGGGACACCATCAAGAGGAATAGCTTACATGTTATTGGAAATTCTGGAAAGGCAGAACCAAACAACCAAACAACAACAACAAAAAAACAAAACAGAGAAACTTGTCAAAG